CCCCCCCCCCAAAAAAAGATGTCCTACATTTAGGGTCACCCTGCCACCTTCCCAGTAAGACTCCATTATCTCATTACCTGTCCTTGTGGTCCCTAAAGAAGCACTAAACCTTTAATCTGAAAAGTAAAACTACTGAGGTCCAAGAAGTCAACCTCAGGGAGTAACACAAATAAAAACCATAACGAGCTGTGAATGCAAGCCCAAGAAAGATGAGTAAAGAGAGGAAACTTCAGTCCGAGAACACTTGGGTTCAAATTGTAGTGCTGTCGCCTACCAGTTGTGACCAAGTAAGCATGAGCCTCTGCCCACACCCAAGACAGGGAAGCCTGGCTCACTGAGGAATGGGCTTTCTGGAACTACTTAAGAATGTGTATCTGCCCAAGACATGTTGAAGATGGCCAATGTTTTCAGCAGAAAGAAGGGAGAGGGGAGGTGAGACATGGAAGACAGAGAGGTGAGGGACAGCCAGGATAGAGGAGTCAGGGAAGTAGATGAGAGGGTAGATTGTCCATTAAGTCAGGAAGATAGAAAAGTCACAAGGGTAGTGGCCATGGCACTTGGACACCAGAGGTACAGCTCAGGCTCCAGGCACAAGAATAGTCTAACCCCAGAGACACTCCACTCCCCAGCTTGCAATCTCGATGGGTGAGCCTCTTCAGGACCTCTCATGCATCCTTGCTTTCAAGTCTACCTGGTCCATCAGTGCTCTTGACAGTACTCTAATCAGGTGACCTCATGGAGTGGAAAGGTGATAATCATGCAGGGAATACATACTCCTAGGCTCAGAGTCCAGCCTAGGCTAGAACAATCCACCCAATGACAGTAGTCTGTGGCCACTAACCACAGGCATGTACCATGTGGTGAGGGCAGTCCCACCTGTGCCTGCCTTCTTGGAGAGAATACATAGGTGTAACTGAGGAACAGGTTTGCGAGGACTATCTGAAGATATCTGATCAACTGAGGACCTGTTAATAGGAGGTAAACATTGCACAGCCAGGGGGCTGGAGTCAGGATTGTAAAGAGGATGAAAAAACACTAGGGGGTCAGGGAGGCACCAAGACCTGAGATGGCATGGACCAGACGCCAGGTGTGAGAATAGCCCAGCCCACCTCGGGCTGTCACCAGGGCAGGTCTCCTCATCAATTCCATTGGGATAACCACAGGGAACGTAGAAACCAACAGAGCCATGGGAGCTGATGAGGTTTGTGAGAATCCACCCCAAGAGGACCAAACCACCCCTCAACAGACCATAACCCGTGAGGATCATCTGTATATGAACAATACTGAAAATCCACAAACTGAATGTTCAGGGAAGGTCTCCAAGGCAGAGCCCAGTGGCCCCACAACCACCACGTCAGTGCATGAAATGCTGGGTATCTTAGAGAAAGTGACTGAGCTGGACATGACCTGCTGCAAAGATTTAGACTTCTGACCCGATTTCAGCCACTCATGGCCCCTTGATACAATGTGTGTGTGTGTGTGTGTGTGTGTGTGTGTGTGTGTGTGTGTGTGTGTGTGGCGGGGGGGGGGGGGGGGGGGGTTGTTCACAGCAGTCAGGGAGAGAAGGAAACATAGCCTGGGGGCCGCAGCTACAGGACCACCACAAACTTGCAAGGCGAACACAGCAAGAGCAAAGAAAACAGAGTTCTAGGTGTGGGAGTAAGGAAGCCAGTGGCCCGACCCAGAGGTCACCAGTGCAAAGTTCTCAAGCATCACCCTGGGGTAGGTTGCTCTGAGACTCGTCTAAGTGTTCCATTCTTCCTAGGAGACTCGGCACCACATCCTCTAGGATGAGTGCATCTGAATCCACTGCACGACATCCAGGAGCCGGGTCCTCCTGCCGGCCTCGCATCTTGATGTGCCCAGGACCTTTCTCCCTAACATCCTCAACAACGCGCTCACCCTCCTCCACAAGGCCCCTACCTGACTATGGCCTTACACGGGGCAGGCTATCAGCCCACTGTCCCCTGAGCATGTTCCAGACCCATCCCCGGTACCCCAGACCTGCCTGAGTCCAGTGGCCCAGGCACCACCAGACTCAACACTTGTAAAGTCCAACTGTGGATCTTCTCCAACACTTCCTCCTCCTGCCAAGGCTCCCTGGCCGCTGGTCCCCAGCTCCTCACTGAACTCAGGCTGGAGAGGCTTTTCTGAGCTCCGTCTCCTGCTCCGTGAAGCAGACACCGCGTCCGGGGCGATGACTCCTGGGCGGCGGCGGGCACGGATGGGCTTTGATGGAGGTGAGACGCGAAGGTAGTGCCTCTTTACCGACAAAAACACTTGCCGAGCTTAACCCGCGTACAGAGCGCGCAGCCTCCTCTCAGGCCCTCTATATTCCAGTTTCCACCGTTCTGAGGAGCCTCCCAAATTCCCGCCTCCGCGCAGTTACGCAGTCCGTCTGCCGGACGTGGTTCCGAAGGAGGGCGACGCCGGAAGTCCCACCTCCACGGAACGAGGGAAAGCTCCTCTCTGGGGCCGTCATTGGCTACGTCGGTACGAGCGCACATGCCCTCCCCTGTCGCCTTGGCAACGAGCAAGCGGCACCGCGAGGGGAGCTGGGAAATGAGGCCCTAAAGTGACGCTGGAGCTAAGTTAATGAAGGCGTCTGGAGGCGGCCGGACTTCCGGCGTTGCTCTAGCTGTGCTCTTCTTGCAGCTGTGGGTGGAGACCAGCACTTGGAGAGCCGCGTTGCCGAGAAGAGGGCCGGGGACCCTCGTGGCACCTGTGCGCGCGCCGTGACCCTCGGAAATAACCCCATTTTTCTAAGACTCGGTGTCGCCCACTGCGGAACGGGTGCCGGAGGGCCAGGGCCTCCCGCGGGCGGTTCCCTGGTCTTTGAGCACATTTTACACGGAGGAGACCTAGCTTCGAAGGTTCCGCGGTCGGCCGGAGGTTCCTGCGCCCAAGGCGGGGTGGTAGGTACGGATTTGAGCTGAGTAGACCGGAATTCGGCGCCTATCGCAGCCAAGCTCCGTCCACAGCTTCCGATGGCCGAGGAGGCGCTGGTAAGTGGAAGGTGCCGGAGGCTCTGACAGCCCTGATCCCCACCCAGTGGGTCGGGTTCTGAATGAGCTCAGGAGAAGCGGGGAAGGCTGTGCAGGTGAAGGGGCAGCCTGGTCAGAGGCAGAGGTGGAAGAGGGGTCTTGGAGATCCATGTGTGGTCTGGTCGGCTGAGAGTTGAAGCGAGGGACAGGCCTGGGTACGGCGGTCTTCAGTGCAGAGTGCGGAGGCGGGGATGCGCTTAACACTGAGCCATGGAGGAGTGGGGCTGGACTGAGTGAGGATGGTATTGTGGTTGCTCTCAGTGGTGTTACCGGAGACACTGTGTGCAGAACGGGCATGTAAGGGAAGTCCAGCGAGTTGCCAATGGGCTGAACGGGTGAGATTGTGCTGGGGTGTGGAGCTCTCACAAGTTGTGGTACAAAGAGTTCTGTGCATGTCAGACACCGGGGGCAAACTGAAGGGTCTGGGACCTAAGACAGAAGGGCGAGCCTAGGTTTGCTTGTCTCTGGGAGCCGATCTCTGGGACTTAGAGGGAATTGGCTAGCAGGAGATAGGGTGAGACCTGTGTGTCTGGCTGGGAACATAGATGGCATCTATCTGGTCACCAGCCTGTTGTTGCTGTGGGCAGGATGCAGAGTCCAATAGTAACATGAGGAGAGAGGCACCAATGGAATTGGGGGCCCTGGCAATCCTCTGAGGTAAGAGTCTTAGGAGGAGGGAGGTAGAGGGTATGTGTCGAGTGGGAGTAGGGGTTTGGGGCTCAAAGGGAAAGTTGATGTCAGTGAGAGATGAGGCAGGACCTTGGGACACTGATCAAGGACCTAGATGTGTTCCTCTGTCTGTGTTTTGGTTGGCTTGTCTGCCCACTATTGACCCCTAAGGCTCAGTTCAATCCATCATTACAGGGGCTGGTGACCTTTGAGGATGTGGCTGTGTATTTCTCCCGGGAGGAGTGGGGGCTCCTTAATCTGACTCAGAGGAGCCTTTACCGTGATGTGATGCTAGAGAACTTTGCACTTATTGGCTCGCTGGGTAAGTCTCTCACACTCTTTCCTAACAGACCGCCTCTGCCTTTTACCCATAGGAAGCTGTGTTCATCCTAAAACCCCACCACAGAGGCTGCTTCCTTCCCAGGTTCCCTGTGGTTGGTGCTGTGAGTACTGGCAATGGGCTGTGTGTTCTTCCCCTGCCTCTCTCTGAGCAGCCTTGTTAGCAGCCTCAATAGCTGTTGCCCCACTGCCTCCTGTAGTAGGGCTTGGGGTTCAGAAGTTTACAGTTTGCCCAACAAATCCCACTCAGCCCTGACTGTCTCTGTGAGTCTGCTGAAGTCATGGCCTCTCTGTGCTCTGGGTTTTGCCTTCTTTCTTCAAAAGAAAATTTATAGGGTCCTCCCTGGTCCAAGCTTGAGCCATGAATTCGAATCAGTAGCTCAGTTAGGGGAGTATTGCCACTTAATATCTTTCAATTCAGAACATGAAATGTCTTTCCATTTATTTAGTCGTCTTTAACTTTTTTCAACAGTGTTTTGTAGTTTTCAGCACGTAAGACTAAAGTTATTCCTAGGTATTTTATTCCTTCTGATGATATTTTAAGTGGAATTGTTTTCTTAATTTCATCTTAGATTGTTCAGTGCTAGTGTATAGAAATATAGATTTTTGTATAGTGATTTTGTGTCTTGTGGCCTTACTAAACCCATTTATTAGTTCTAATAGGTTTTTTTTTTTTTTTTTTTTTTTTTTTTTTTTTTTTTTTTTTTTTTTTTTTTTTTTTTAGTGAACTCCTTGGTATTTTCCATATATGTGGTGTGATGTCATCTGCAAATAGAGATATCTTTACTTCTTCCTTTGCTTAACTAACCTGGCTAGAACCTCAAGTACTTTATTGAATAGAATTAGTGAGAGTAGATATCCTTGTCTCATTCTCAATTTTATGGGAAAAGCATTTAGTCTTTCACTAATAATCACTGTGGGTTTTTTGCAGCTCACCTTTTCAGGTGAGGAATTTCCCTTCTGTTCTCAATTTGTCGAGTGCATTTATCATGAAAGGTCATTAGATTTTGTCTAGTACTTTCCCATGTGTATGGAAATGATCATGTGCAGGGGCCTGGGAGGCTCAGTCGGTTAAGTGTTGGAGTCTTGGTTTTGGTTCAGGTCATGGTCTCACAGTTCATGAGATCAAGACCCGAGTTGGGCTCTGTGCTGTGTGTGGAGCCTGCTTGGGATTCTCTGTCTCCCTCTCTCTTTCTGTCTGTCTGTCTGTCTGTCTGTCTGTCTGTCTCTGCCCCTCCCCTGCTTGCATGTGTTTTTTTTCTCTCTCTCAAAATAAAAAAATAAATAAACATTAAAAAGAGATGATTGTGTGATTTTTATTGTCTATTCTGTTAACACAGTATTGCAGTAATTGATTTTCATAGTTCAACCTTGTGTTACTAGGACGTTTTTCACTCTGTCGTAGTTTATAATCCTTTTATGTATTTCTGGATTGGCTTTGCTAGTATTTTGTTGAAGAGTTTTGCATCTCTTTTGTTGAAGAGTTTTGTTGAAGAGTTTTGTTGAAGAGTTACCAGTGTGTAGTTTTCTCACAATGTCTTTTTTTTTTTTTTTAATTGAGAATGAGGGTAATTTTGGCCTCAATGGATGAGTTGGGAAATGTTCCCTTTTCTACTGTTTTCTGGAAGAGTGTGTCAAGTATTGGTGGAAATTTTTATTTCAGTGTTAATATTCATCAGTGAAGCCCTCTGGGCTGACTTTTTTTCTTACCCCCATGGGGGAAGTTTTGTTGTTGTTTAAATATAATCAGACTTTCTGTTTCTTCTTGAGTCAGTTTTGGTAGTTTGTGTCTTTTTTAGGAATTTGTCTGTTTTATCTAAGTTATCTAATTTGTGGGCATACAGTACAGTTGTTCATAGTATTTCCTTAAAACCCTTTCTAGGGGTGGGGCACCTGGTTGGCTCAGTTGGTTAAGTGTCTGACTTTGGCTCAGGTCATGATCTCACGGTTTGTGGTTTCGAGCCCCGCGTGGGGCTCTGTGCTGACAGCTCGGAGCTTGAAGCCTGCTTCGGATTCTGTGTCTCCTTCTCTCTCTGCTCCTCCCCCACTTGTACTCTGTCTCTATCAAAAACAAATAAATGTAAAAAAAAACAAAAAACAAAAACCTTTCTAGGGATGCCTGGGTGGCTCAGTCAGTTAAGTGTCTGACTTCGGCTCAGGTCATGATCTCATGGTTCGTGAATTCGAGTCCCATGTCAGGCTGTATGCTGAGAGCTCAGAGCCTGGAGCCTGCTTCAGGTTCTGTGTCTCCTCTCTCTGCCCTTCCCCATTCACACTCTGTCTCTCTTTCAAAAATAAGTAAACGTTAAAAAAAAATTTTTTTTTAACTTTCTATAAAAAAATTTTTTTTTAACTTTCTATTTTGTAATTTTGTTAGTGATGTCCCCCTTTTCATTTTTCTTTTTAATAATTTGATTCTTTTATTTTTTTCTTGTCAGTCTAGGTAGCAGTTTTTCAATTTTGCTAATCTTTTCAAAGATCCTAATTTTGGTTTCACTGATTCTCTCTTTCTAATCTCTATTTCATTTATCTCTGTTCCTTACCATTTCCTTTCTTATGTTAGCTTTGAGTTTAGTTGCTTTTCTTTTTCCTGTTCCTTGAGGACTAAAGTTAGGCTATTGGTTTGAGATCTTTTAATTTTTTTAAATTATTTTAAAAATGTTTATTTAGGGGCGCCTGGGTGGCTCAGTCGGTTACGTGTCCGACTTCGGCTCAGGTCATGATCTCGTGGTCCGTGAGTTCGAGCCCCGCATCAGGCTCCGTGCTGACAGCTCAGAACCTGGAGCCTGTTTCGGATTCTGTGTCTCCCCCTCTCTCTGACCCTCCCCCATTCGTGCTGTGTCTCTCTCTGTCTCAAAAAAAATAAATAAATAAACGTTAAAATTTTTTTTTTTTAAATGTTTATTTATTTCTTCTTGAGAGAGAGAGGCAGAGGGAGAGAGGGAGACAGAGAATCCCAAGCAGGCTCCACACTGTGAGCCAGGATCCCGACAAGGGGTTAGACTCATGAACCATGACATCATGACTTGAGCTGAAATTGAGAGTCATATGCTTAACTGACTGAGCCACCCAGGTGCCCCTGAGCTCTTTTTAAATATGGGTGCTGTGACATAAAAAGAAATATATATTTTGTCTTTGTTCCCACTTCCTAGCACTGCTCCTAAAACTGTTGGAATCTCTGAAATGATGAGTATCTTTTGTGTGCTAATGGCATGGCTGGTGGCTGGGAGCCCCTAGATAGCTTCAGGATAGGGGGTGGCCACCAGAAAGACTAGGGCACGATTGAAAGGTTAAAAATTGAGCTGCCCCCACCCCCTATCCTCCCAGTCCCCTAACCCTACCCTCCAGGAGATTAGAAACTCCCAAACAATAGGCTTCAGAGAGCTTCTAGGTTATTGGGAAAAGTGGCACCACCAGAGGGCATGAATGCCTCTAACCCTCTACTTCGTCAACCCCCACCCCCATCTCTACCCTGGCATACTTTGCCCTTTGCATCTCATCCATTGGGCTGTTTCTGAGTTGTATATTTTATAATAAACTGGTATAGTAAGTAAACTCTTTTCCTGAGTTCTGTGAGCCATTATAGCAAACTATTGAACCTGAGAAGGGATCAATAATTGTGGGAATCCCTGATTTATAGCCACTTGGTCAGAAGTGTGGGAGGTCTGGGACTTTCAACTGGTGTCTGAAATAGCAGCAGTCCTGTGGGACTGAGCCCTTAATCTGTGGGATCTGATGCTGACTCTGTGTAGTTAATATGAGAATTGAATGGAATCCTTGGACACCAGCTTGATGTCTGAGATTTGGAGAAGTGGTGTGGAACACCTGCCCTGTACCTACCCACTTTTGGTGTCAGATTGTTAGAAGTGAAACAGCACAGAGGTGTTTATAGCTCTAATTTCCTATTTTCTAAGCACTGTTATGTCCCATTACTTTGGGCATGTTGTATTCTCATTTTCATTCATTTCAGAGTGCTCTGTAGTTGTCTTTTGGTCATTTAGGAGTGTTGTATTTAAATTCCATAAATTTGTGAGTTTCCCACATTTCTTTCTGTTGTTGATTTCTATTTTAATTCCTTTGTGGTCAGAGATCATACTTTGTGTGATTTCAGTCCTCGAAAGTCTATTTCCCATCAAGTGGTCTGTTCTGGAGAATGTTCCATGTGCATGTGAGCATGTGAGAATATGCATTCTGCTGCTGTATTGTGGCATGCTCTATAGATGTCTATTAGGTCTAGTTGATTTTTAGTGTTGTTCAAGTGCTGTATACTTATTTGTTTTCTTCCTAGTGATTCTGTCCATTATTGAAAGTTCTCCAACTATTATCATTTGTCTATTTTTTACTTAAGTTATGTCAGTTTTACTTCATGGGAGGCTCTATTAAAAGATTATGGTAGGGGCACCTGGGTGGCTCAGTCGGTTGAACGTCCGACTTCGCTCAGGTCACGATCTCACGGTCCGTGAGTTCGAGCCCTGCGTCGGGCTCTGTGCTGACAGCTCAGAGCCTGGAGCCTGCTTCAGATTCTGTGTCTCCCTCTCTCTCTGGCCCTCCCCCCGTTCATGCTCTGTCTCTCTCTGTCTCAAAATAAATAAATGTTTAAAAAAAAAAAAAGATTATGGTAAAACACAACATGGGGTCTACCTGCTTAACACATGTTTAATTGTGCAGAAGATGTTTTTTTCTTTTCTTTTTTTTAAAAATGTTTTTGATGCTTATTTATTTTTGAGAGTGGGAGAGAGAGACAAAGCATGAGAAGGGAAGGGGCAGAGAGAGAGGGAGACACAGAATCCAAAGCAGGCTCCAGGCTCTGAGCTGTCAGCACAGAGCCTGACGTGGGGCTAGAACTCAGGAACCGTGAGATCATGACCTGAGCTGAAGTCAGACGCTTAACCAACTGAGCCACCCAGGTGCCCTGAGGATGTTGTTTTTCTAATACTCTGTTTCCTTCATGGTTGCCATGGTGACATGCGCTTCCTTTGGTGGGGGATGGAGTGGGTAAGCCTTGGCTTGGGTTGGCCTCTTACTGCTGTTCTCCCTCCCAGGATTTGCATCTTCAAGGTGCCATGTGGTTGCCCAGCTGGAGAGTGAAGAAGAGTTCTGGGTTCCCAGCATGGTGGACCTGACTCTGGTCAGCAGAGTTGAGGCCAGGAGGGGTCCTGGTCTTGGTGAGTAGGGCTGGGACATGTCTTGGTTTCAGTGATGGGCTCACAGCATGCTGCTCATCTGTGTGCTTTGGCTTTTTGGTACTGAGGCCAGTGACCACACACTATTCCTACCTTTCCTCTCCCTTGTGGACACAATATGCGATTTCTGTCCCTACCATGACTCTCAGGACCTAGATGACCCCCCTCCCTGTTCTCCACGCCAGTGTAGAGCTACTAGTGACTTGAGATGTGCACACATCCTTAAATAATACTTCAAGACCAGCTACTCTGTTACAGCTGCCTTTTCATCTGTGCAGACACATCCTCTTCACAGTGCCCACTGTCACCAGCAGTGGAGGCCCTACTTGAAACACATTGCAAGGAGTGACCTGGTGGCCTCACCTCTTCTCCTGGCACTGCTCCCATCTTTGTGTTCTCATCCCTGCTGAAGTCTTTCCTACTCTGTGATCTGGCAGAGCCCCGTTCTACTGGGCCAGCCGTTTCTCACCCAGACTTCTAGCAACCTCCTGGCAATTCTGTGGACTGCTTTCTGGTATGTCTGATGTGTGTTTGTGATGTAGGTACCTCCTCTCTCTAATCCAGCTCTCGGTAACTGGCTTTTATGTTTCAGGTTGTCCATGTAGCCTGAAGGATGGGGAAACCCCTACAGAGCAGATGAAGAGTTACAGAGTCTACCTGTCAGAGAAGCCCTCTCTGCTTGGGGAGTCTGGGAAGGACATGCCTACCACCTTAGATCTTCTCCGGCAGCAGGCCACCCACAGCAAGGGGAAGCCACACAGGAGCACCGAGCATGGAGAAGCCTTCCAACCCAGCTCCAGTAGCCAACAGCAGCAGGCAGTCCGTGCCACACAGAAGGCCTTCAAGTGCAGTGACTGCGGGAAAGCCTTCCCAAAGGCCTTTGCGCTCCTTGACCACCTGGTAACCCACCCCAAAGAGAGACCCTTTAGATGTCCAAAAGGTGGAAATGCCCCCAAGGAGAAATCCACCCATGTTAATTACCAAAAAATTCACACTGGAGAAACATCCCATGTGTGTACTGAGTGCGGAAAGGCCTTTAGTTATCCCTCTAAACTGAGGAAGCACCAGAAGGTTCACACGGGCATAAAACCTTTCAAGTGTGATGAATGTGGCAAAACCTTCAACCGCAAAGATGCACTTGTTCTGCACCAGAGAATTCACACTGGAGAAAGGCCTTATGAGTGCAGCGAATGTGGGAAAGCCTTCAGCGTTCTGTCTACTCTCATTCGGCACCGGAAAGTTCACATTGGAGAAAGGCCCTATGAGTGCAGGGAATGTGGGAAGTTCTTTAAATACAACCATAGCTTCATTCTTCATCAGAGAGTTCACACTGGAGAAAGGCCTTATGAGTGCAAGCAATGTGGGAAAACTTATGTGACCCGCTCTGGCCTGTATCAGCACTGGAAAGTTCACACTGGAGAACGGCCCTATGAGTGCAGCCTGTGTGGGAAGACCTTCACCACCAGGTCCTACCGCAATCGGCACCAGCAGTTCCACACTGAAGAGAGGTCCTATGAGTGTACAGAATGTGGGAAAGCCTTCAAACATAGTTCTACCCTTCTTCAGCACAAGAAAGTCCACACTGGAGAAAGGCCATAAGAAGACAGGGGATGTTGGAAAGCCTGTAGCTAGGGCTGGCACCTTGTTCAACATGAAAAACCTCACTCCAGAAAGGAGAGGAGAGTAGCCATTTGAAAGTTAAACCTGGCACACCCCAACACATGCGCTGGGGTGGCAGGTGTGTGGGAAGTTTTCAGGAGCTAGGTTGCACTTGGACCTGCCTAGGCTGTTGGCAGTGTTAAGTTGCTGCCAGTTTCCATGATACAAACCATCTCAGCTCCACCACCTGGCAAGTGCCCAAGGTGTGCATCAGGCACCGCAAGGTGCTCTGGAACAGCAAGACCTCCATGGTCGCCACTCTTTAAAGGAGAGAATCATGAGTGGTGGAGTCCGTGATGGGCCTCATTTGCTCCCTCCAACTGGTTCAGGTATGCCTGTGACCAAGCTCTGGTCAAGAGTAGCTGAGCTGTGTCTACTGGGGGCTTCCAGAGAAAGTTAATCCTTTCCATGGACATCGTTTACACTACGCATGGTACCTGTCATGGATTTATCCAACCCTGGAACTGACTGTCTCACACTTCCCTGGAATGTATGGTAATAAAAGCTTTATTGTTTAAGCCATCTTTAATATTGGGGGTTCTGATCACTGTGTGTGAAGAGATTGAGAACAAAACTGGGCTCATGAATAGAAGGACTGGCTTCTGTGGTAAGGGGTCCTTGATTTTTGTTGCCTTACTGGGGATAGCAGGATGTTCACCTCATGGCCATCACCCTGGTCCTGAGAGAAGGAAGATCCTGTTGTCCTGGGATGTGGCCAATGTTCCTAGTGTCTCTGCATACTGTGGCCTTCATTGTCTTTGCTGCCAGTATGCCAGGGCACAGAGGAAAGAAGTGGTTGAACCAACATATGGACCCGTATCCTCTGGTTTGTGGGGTCTTTTGATTTAAAAAGTTTTGGAAACTAATTTCCCAAAGGTCAATAAAATGTCAGTTCAGTAAAACTTGTATGTTGGTTGTAGCTGTGTCCCTGTTCCAAAAGTTATGCTTCCTGTCAAGAAGAGAATGTTAGTTTGAAGCACGTTGGAGAGAGAATGGTGACCCTAGGCTTAAGGGGCTTTGAGCCACAGTGCTCAGCCATTACCATGTGTTGGGGTTGGAAATGACTGCTGCCTCCTATAACTGGAGTGATGCTTCTCCCCCACCCCTGATGGCAGGAGGACTGGGGGTAGAAACAGGGTAGAAGCCCAGGCAGGCTTATAGTCAGGGGACTTTTTGGCCAGTCTGCTCAGTTTCTTCCCAACACTGTGAAGTATATGCCCACCTCCAGGCCTATTCAGGCCCTACTCCCTGCGTATAGTAATTGTTTGCCTGCAGCATGGTGGGGGTGGGGGTGGGGGTTGGTCTGTGTTGTAGCAGAGTTAAAGTCCAGCTGAGCCAAGTAGGGCTCAGTTCTTGGGGTAGGGTAGACATCAGTCATTAGAGTTCAATCCTTTGTACCTTGTATGGGTGGCCTTGGTTAGATCAGATGGCCCTGAGCACATGGGTGAAGGGTCCTCTGAACCAGCTTTCTGGTCTCCCATTGGGGTTGCTTGTATAGCAGCCAACCTGCTGGGGAGGGGGTGAAGGGTAATGTTTTCCAGGTGATGCTGGAACATCTGAGACAAATGGTTCCTGGTGGCTCTGACCCTTTGACTTGCCCAGGGTATCAGTTTGGGTATCAGTTAGCTCAAATCTCACCTGGAAAGCCAGTGCCAGCAGCCCATCCTTGCAGTTTCTGTCTTGGCTGCCCTGAGACTGCCCTCTCCCGCAGCCAGGGGTAGCTCTCCTCTGGAGTCCACCCAGCAGTTCTGTGCCCCTGGGCATTTTTATATGTGCCCTCAGCCTATCAGGAATGCCTCCCCAGCCTCTCTACCTCTTTCAAGAATACCCCTTCCACAGTTAAACCAAGATGGTATTTCTTCATGAGACCCCTCACTTCCTCATTTGGAGTGACCTTCTTCCTCTTTCTCTGCCCTCTCTGTGCTTTGATGTCTGGCCGGACACAAACCCAGTGCTACCCCTAAGTTTGTCCTCACGATTACATCTGCTGCACGTTTGAAATTGAGGGATACATTTGGGTTTGTTAAAGACTTAGCAACATAGAAGTCTTCACTGAGATTGGGACTAGTGTGTTTCTTGATTTTTAAGTTCATCTACAGAGGCAATAGTACTTCTTTTCTCACTGTGCTGTGTGACGTGTTTGGTCCCCGGTCAGCAGGGCAGGTGTCTGTTTATTTTCTCACAGTCAACAAGACAGTTTGGTGATAGGAGTAAATGTGTGTGTCTCCACAGTAATTAAGCAGGAGAGCAAGGTTGAAATTCTGAATATTCTCAGTTTGATACCTTGTCTTAAAAGACTCTGTGAACTGGTTCATGAGAACAGACACCATCTTGCTCTGCAGATGCCCATAAGGGGAACCTCCTTCATCTCTTGGTGAGTGTCTCAGTCTGTTCAGTTGCTATAAGAAAATACCAGAGACTGGGCGGCTTAAGCAAGAGAAATTTATTTCTCCCAGTGCTAGGGACTGGGAAGTCCCGGACCCAGGTGTGGGCCAATTTGGTTCTTTGATGAGAGCTCTTCTGGCTTGTAGATGGCCATCTTTTTGCTGTGTCCTTACATAGTAGAGAAAAAGAAAGTTCTGGTGTCTCTATGCTTCTTATAAGGATGCTGATTCTGTAACAGAGGACTCACCCTCATCTAAATCTAATTACCTCCCAAAGGCCCTATCTCCGCACCATCAGATAGTAGTTTAGGACTTCAACACATAATTTTGGGAGATGCATTCAGTTCATAACAAGTCTCCTTAATATTGGTGATTTTCATTTTTTAAGCCAAGCTCTGGAACTTAATCATTTAGCACCTCAAGCCCTAAGCAGACCAATATAGCTAACTTACTGGGAGAAATGGAGAAGAGCCTAAAGAAAAGTTGGCTTTTAACAGTGAACAAGTAAGTATGTCCAGTAATTACTTGTTCGTTCACTCATTCCAGTTTTTACTGAGTATATGCATCAGGCCTGGTCATCAGAGCATATTCAACCCAAAGCTATAATGATGGGGGTCAAGGGTGGTCATGTGACCTGAGGTGCATTAATGAGAGGCATTCGAAGGACTTGCAAGGAATTGTGAGGAAAGGGGAACCCTCTTGTGGACCCTGGAGTTCATGCACCAGGATTTGGGAGTTGGGGCTGCCGGCAGCAACTTTTCCTCTTTAAAGAGATGCATGCCTGAAAACTAAGCCAAAAGAGGCAGCTGAGTGGAGATAAGAGACAAGCCCTTTTGATCTCACTGAGCCCTGCCTCCAGTTGTGCCTAAAGCTGTCCTGTGAGCTTGATGAATGAATCAATAATTTTATTTTGGCAAAACCACTTATATTTGGGTTTAAGTGCCCTGGAAGGAAAAGAGTTCTGCCTAACATGTAGTCCTTCCCTGCAGTGGTTCCCCCCACTACTCCTGCCAAGGACATCACAGGGCAGAGCCTCCTGGGGTACAGTACCCATGGACAGATCAAAGCCATGTCAGACATGAGGCTCAGATTCCACCAACCTAAAGGTCTATCAAGTGTTCACTTGCCTTCTCTGAGTTGCCCTTCCCCACTCCAGAAGCTCCCAGCAGCATGGCACCTGCACAAAGAAACTGGCCCCCTCCACCGGTATCACCACACGCAGCCCAGACCTCCCTCAGAGCAGCATGTCCATCTGTGGTTCCCATTTGGTTTAGAACAAACCAAACTCCTCATCCCCGCTTACAGGGCCTGCATGACCTGGTTTCCATGCCCTCCTCCTCCAGCATGGGCTAGAGTCTTCTCCTCGCTCTCAAATGCACCATCTCAGTCCTGCCTGAGGCCTCTGCCCTGAAGTTGCCTCTGTCCAGAATCCTCTTCCCCTGGAGTCACCTCCTCAGAAGTAGTGGTTGTAGTTTTCTGTCACCCCCCTATTTCATTTCCTTCGAACTCCAACCATTCTCTGCTATGGCCCTGTTCTCTGATCTGTTTGCACATTAAATCTCTGTATTGCACATCATATTGAGATAAAGTGTGTCTGCCGCAGGGCCTGACACACAGTAGGACCCCAGGAAATGGAATTTTTGTTGAGCTAGTATTTGGCTGCCCTGCAGGACTGTGCTGGGCTCAGACCACAGCCCCATCATCACAGCTGACTCTGGGGAGGGAGAGAGAAGGACACCATAGAAAAAGGTAGTAAATCCTTCTTTCTGCACTCAAGTAAGTTACCTGAGTCTGCTTACATGTTTATCTCATGCTATGTGAATTGCTACTGTATGCTGAGATTGAACTTGCCCATCAGGGAAGAAACACATAAGGGCATGGAGCTGACATTTTAGTAGGGGGATATAGACTGAAGTCCCCCACCCCAAATTCATGGATTAAAAACTAATGCCCAGTGTGGTATATTTGGCGGTGGGGCCTTTGGGAGGTGCTTAGGTCCTGAGAGTGGAGCCCTCATGAATTATATTAGTGCCCTCAGAAAAGAGATCCCCTGAGAACACCTTCCTTCCTTCCTGGAGTCTCACCAGACACTGAATCTCCTGCCACCCTGATCTTGGACTTCCCAGCCCCTAGTAATGCAAGAAATAAGTTTCTGTTGTTTGTAAGCTACCTGGTCTATGGTGGACTGAGACATGGGGAGACAGATACCCCTCAAGAAACCATACAACTGGCAACTATGACAGGGGCTATGAAAGGACATCCTTTAGGGTATCAACTGAGCCCCCTCGTGGTTCTCTGCATTTCAGGACCTCTGGGTTTGTCGTCATGTCTGTCTACTGGGAACTCAAGTGACTCTGCAATTGGCCTTTACCTTCTAGTGAAAGGAAGTTATCATGGCTTTTAGTCATCATGGCAGCTTCTTTTGTGTGGCTGTGATTTTGTTTTTATTTATTTGTTTATTTTATTTTTTTAATGTTTATTTGTTTTTGAGAGAGAGAGAGAGAGAGAGAGAGAGTGCGAGTGGGGGAGGGGAAGAAAGAGAGGGAGACACAGAAT